CATATATACATATATGAGATGAGGTCAAAATTATCGTATATTGGTAGTAAAGCAGGCGGTTGTCGAAGATGGCCAGTGCTACCGTTGACTTGTAAAACGATGGGGGGGACGATCTAAAGACGATACTCTAAATGCAACAGTATTGCCAAGTTGCATTGACTGTAAAACGATATGGGACGCCCTAACCCCAAAACGAGCCTAGCACAAGCAAATAATTTTGACGCCGGCTCATATATATATATATATCTACACACATATCTATCTATATATATATATGGGTATACATATACATCATATGTGTATGTATGTGTACATATATCACTTGTGTATATATACACACACATAAGTGTCTGTGTTTTGGGTTTTCGGCCTAGGTATCTATGACAAAGCCTAAGCGAACATGCAGACAATGCAGACAAAGCAGGTACATGCATACGTGGATAGTGCAGGAAGAGAGAGAGAGAGAGACAGAGATAGAGATAGATGGCTAAATAGATAGATAGAAATATCGACAGATAGATCGATCGATAAATTGATAGAAAACAGAAACAGATAGATAAGATAGATCAACGAATTCATGGATGGTAGGTCCGTGGATAGGTAGATAGGTGGTGTGATGGAAAACAGATCGATCGATCGATTGGTAGATATAGGTAGTTGGATGGATAAGTTTACAAATCGGCAGATGGGTAGGCAAGCTTTTTTAGACACACGAATAAACAAACAATGAAAGCTTCAAGCAAACTAAACTACACAGCTGAGTATACAAACGAATATCCGAGCAGCATGTGCAATCCTAAATCTGTTGTGAGGTATAGTTTTGCGCACATACACTGTGTTTGTTTGCGCACCGAGGCAGCATTATACATTGCGTACAAACAAAAGTCAGAAATATGTGCGAACTTGTCTGTTTAGATATATACACACACATACTGTTGTTCTATGGTGTATATATATATATAGATCAACCTGTATCGGCATTATTGCCTATATGTATGTGCTTATGTTTCCCTTGTACTGTTAAGTTACAGTTCCTCCATTTTTCGCTGATAGCACATACCTTGTGCCCGTCCCCTGAATGGCGGCTTCGGTCCAGCCGCTTAGTCATTGCCTCCAGACGGCCGCAGTGAGAGTATTCGTTCACAGGCAAGAAGACTCATGCTTCCATCCACAACCCAATCTGTCCCTCAAGGAAGGTGCGTTCTTTGAATGAAGATAGGCTGTCTGAACCATGGATCTGTATTAAGAGTTGGCGTCTGTGGCTCTGCATCCTCACCATGGCATGCCACAGGTCTTGCAGGATTGGGTGGCTGTTAGCTGCTATGACCTGGGTGCAGAGGGCAGCAGCACAGAGCCGCTTGGCTTTTCTTGGTACCATAGAGGCCTAAATAATTACCTATACTGTTTCGGGGGTTCCTTATTATAGTTATATTAGTATAATATACCCCAAAACCCTATTCTAATTATGAAGGCCCTACATTACTTTCGGCAGGTCTTGCGACCCTAAATGGCTGAAGCCTAACTCTGAAACCCCTTTTCTAATTGTTAAGGCCCCCCCCTTCCGTAATACGTTTGAGATTTCAACGTTTGAGATTTCACGGTGCTCGGGCGGCTTTCTGAAGGTTGTAGGCCAAGGGTTTAGGGTTTAAGGGTTTAGGAGTTTAGGGGTCTAGTATTTAGGGGTTAGGGGTCTGGGGTTTAGGGTTTAGGGTCGATCCAGTTTTTCCATTCCAGCATTCCTGGGTGTCTCTAACGGGCATGGTGGAATGCCGCTCGTGATCTGAAACGTGCCCACACACACACATACGCACGATATCGATACATATATATATATATACACACATATGACGCATGATGACCGTTATAAACCAGCACGGGGTAGTTCGTAGACCTAACTTCTATGGGATAGTGTGGCCGTTACGAAACTAACCTGGGACGGGGGGCTTGGTCATGCTCGTTATCCCTTATAGGTGCTGATTTCTTTTGGTACAGTATAATGTACCCCAAAACGCGATTGAGTCATTGAGGCTCCTCGATTTGGAATTTGGAGCTGTCCCCTTTGCAACTCTAAAGAGCCTTCATAAGCACCATCCATTCCCACCCGTATAGGAACCATTTAAGGGCCCCCTTAAGGAGCCATCCTAAAGCCTTAAACCGTGAAGCCCCAAATCCTGAAACCCCCAAACCCCTAAACCCTTAAACCCTAAAACCCCCAAGCCCCTTAAACTCTAAAAGCCTTAAACTCCTAAACCCTAACCCCTAAACCCTAAACCCAAAATAACAAAAAACCTAAACCCAAAATTTCAAAACAGAACTAAACCCTAAACCCGAAATATATATATATATATAAACTAAACCCTGATGAGTTAATTAGCGAAGCTCTCAGAGACCCAAAGGCCACCACCTTTGGCCGTGGCGGAGCTCTCGGAGCGCTGCGACGCCCCGTGCTTGGTGCTCTTAGGGTTTAGGGTTTAGGGGGTTTAGTAATACTGTAGGGTTCCCTATTGTGTTTTGGGGTTTTGCCTTTTAACTGGTTTTTGATTTCGGCTTTCTGCACTTTCCTGGGGGCGTCGTAGGCTTTGGTTACACTTTGATGGTCAACGACCGATACGGTTTTATTGGGGTTCCAAATCTAGGACATTTTCAAGTGGGTAGTTTCCGCTACAGGAGCCTTATAGAAGGTCTATATACCTGTAGAAGCTTTATAGAAGCCCTATATACCCTAAACCCTAAACCCTGAAACCCTAAACCCTATACCCTAAACCCTAAACCCTGAACCCGAACCCCAAGGGGGTTATATTAGGCCCTATATACCTATATACCCTAAACTCCCCACCTGTAGTTTCCTTTAGCCAAAAAGAGCACTGAGGCCCTGAGGCGTCGGAGCCTCGCCGGCGGTCTGACCTCCCAGGAGGGGAGGCATAAAATTGGGGGTTTAGGGTTTAGGGTTTAAGGTTTAGGGTTTAAGGTTTAGGGTTTAGGCTTTTAGGGTTTTAGGGCTTTAGGGTTTTAGGGTTGAGGGTTTTAGGATTTAGGGCTTAGGGTTTTAGGGTTTTAGGGTTTAGGGTGTAGGGTTTAGGGGCCTTAAGGAATTACCTATACTATTTTCGGGGCTCCTTGTTTTAACTATAAAAGCATAACATACCCCAAAACCCTATTCTAATTATTAGGATGAGCGCCGGTCCAGCGCCCAGACCCGTCGGGGAAGGGGGGGAGGGCAGGCAGGAGGGGAGGGAGGGAAGGGGGAGGGGCGGGGGGAGGGGCGGGAGAGAGGGGGGGGGGCTGATGACGTTCATGGGAAGAGACGTTCTTGTTGCATGTGTTCATTTCTTCCCTTCCGTAATGACTTCTTCTTGCATGTTTTCTTTTCCTCCCTTCCGTACTTGCCTTCGGCATTTCCCTTCGGTGTGGGAGGGGGGGTGAGAGGGGGGAGCGGGGGGAGGGCTGATGACGTTCATGGAGAGAGGTTCTTGTTGCATGTGTTCTTTTCCTCTCTTCCGCTGGTGTTGCTCAGTACAGACGTTGGGGTCGTAGCTGCGGAGTTACAGTGGCCCCGGCACACTTCTTCCAAGACACTGAGCCGTTGTGGCTGCGGCAGGCGAAATGAGAGCTGTGACTTCCACAAAAGCGGTGTTTTTTCAGGGAAGGTTTGCTTGGCCGTGTAGTGCACTGCTATCCTCTGCATCCTTTACGACTATGTCTCGTGCCGTGCTAGCCTATGCATGTTCTGCGACAGCACGTACTGTACTATCATGTACATGAATTACTCTGAAAAGCACGTACAAGTGCACGACAACCCATTTTTACCGGGTCAAACGCGTTTCACCCGGCAAGAACGGGTTGTCGTGTACATGCATGTTTTCTGCTGACAATGACCTGTCTTCTCAGGGTAAGTGTAGCATCTCTGAAAACGTGCATTTCGTCGCGGGGAAACATACATTTACATGGTCAACTCCAGTCAATCTTCGGCCCAAGACAACAAGCCTGCGAAGTTTCGTGTCAAAAGTTGCGTGGATGAAATTCAAATTCTGGCCACGCAAACGAGTGTGTTTACAAGACACAGCTATGATAGCTCCAAGTAGCGAATCCCTCGTGCCTGCCACGTAGTTTGTGACCCCCTTATTGCCACTCACACTCTATCCAATGAAGTCTGGGCGCTGGATCGGCGCTGCGCGTAATTATTATGGCCCCCCATATTAGTATTCTCTGTTTAGGGTTTGGGGTTTTGTCCGAAGAATTTGGGGTATAGAGGAGGAGGTAGTTGGGTGGGCTAGGAAGAAAAACATGACGAAATATGCCCCAGAAACTGATTAAAACATGATGTAATATACCCCGACACCCGGTTCAAACATTACGTAATATACCCCCCAAACTCGGTTCAAACAGTATGTAGTACACCCCCAAGACTATAACGCCCCCACAGTCTTGCAATGTCTGGAAACCCACGAAAGCCCAGCCTTCTGGGTTAGACGCACACTTAGATATGTTTTTGATGTAAGTGCCTTAATTATTAGAATAGGGATTTGGACTCCTTTATATACCATGGTTGCCATAGGGAGCCCGAAGGAATAAGTTTGGTAGTTATTTAGGCTGATATAGTGCAGGGGATCCTGCTAGCTGTTACATGGACCCTACAAAACCTTCCTTTCTAGGATTCCCTATACTGGTTTCCTTAAACTGATCCTTACAAAGGCAAGTCATTGGGGGTCCTGGTAGCGCCTTTGCTATTCTACTCCTACTCCCGTCCGAGCATGGCCGGCACATTAGCATGAAGTCATGTGGCAGATCCAGCGCGGGAAGGCGGCATTTTCCGTTAAGTTGGAGCTAGGAGTGCTCATCGGGAACTGCATGGTTTTGCCAGGTGTTGCAGGCCTTCGGGCTTGCCTTGGGTTGCTTCTTCATACGGTTCAATCGGGTGCTTGAGCATCTGGGGCTCGTAGGCGTTCGCCGTGCTCCAAGTGCGGACCGGAGGTGCCGGCAAATGCTTAGGGTTTAGGGTTTAGGGTTTAGGGCTTTTCGACAGTGTGGGTAAGTAGTGTACTCGTTCACAAGCCGGCACTTCGCCTTGCTTTGCCCAGCAGGATCCCTATGATTTGGACCCTAAATTTTTACACCTACCCTCAGAGCAGCCCCCCCTTATAGCAACCCTAAACCCTGCATGAGCCCTAAACCCTACACCCCTAAACCCCTAAACCGCCAAACCCTAAACCCCTGTAGCCTACACCCTAAACTCCTTGAGTCACGAAAGTCCCAGCCCATCCTGGCCGCAGGACTGGGCGAAGCATGCGGAGGAGATGGAGCCCTTGCCTCATTTGCCTACAGGGGGTTGGGGGTTTTGGGCTTTATAGGATTCAGGGCCCTCAGTGTGGGGTTCTTATGGGTTTGGGGTTCAGGGCTTTATAGGATTTTGGGCCCTCAGTGTGGGGTTCTTATGGGTTTGGGGATTAAGGCTTTATAGGATTTAGGGCCCCCAGTGTGGGCATCTTATGACAAGGGTCATGCTACCCACGGCTCATACCTAGAGAACCCAGTACCCCTTAATTCAAGAATATTCCTTAAATTATAGAGGCCTTCATATTATGGTTTAAGGTATATTCCCTAATTAGGGGGTATTGGGTTCTCTGGGTATGCATTATTGCATGCTTCCCTAAACCCTAACCCCTAAACCATTGCATGCTTTGCGCCGCCCATGGCATGTCAGAGTAGGCAGGTGGCAGGAAACCCTACAGCCGCTGCGATCGTAGAGACCCTAAAACGACTCATGAGGGTGTAGGGTTTAGGAGTTTAGGGTTTAGGAGTTTAGGGTTTAGGGGTTTAGGGTTTAGGGGTTTAGGGGTTTAGGGTTTCGGGTTTAGGGTTAAGGGGTTTAGGGTTCAGGGTTTGACCCATGAGGGTGTAGGGTTTAGGGTTTAGGAGTTTACGGTTTAGGGGTTTAGGGTTTAGGGTTTAGGGTTTAGGGTTCAGGGTTCAGGGGTTTAGTGTTTAGGGGTTTAGGGTTTAGGGTTTAGGGTTTAGGGGTTCAGGGTTGAGGGGTTTAGGGGTGTAGGCTTTAGGGTTTAGGGTTTAGAGTTCAGGGTTTAGGGGTTTAGGGTTCAGGGTTCAGGGTTTAGGGGTTCAGGGTTTGTGCCATTCCAGAAGCTCCTGAACAGATCGAGCGACATCAGGGGCTGTATACTGCAACCCCAAAGCCAAATCCCCCAAACCCGTACGCCCTCACCCCAAAAGCCCAACCCCCCTAACCCCTAAGCCCTAAACCTTAAGCCTGAGCCCTATGAACCCTAAACCCTAAGCCCTTAGAGTGGAAGCCCAAAAGTTACAAACCCAATAGCCTCTATCCCTATCCCTAAGAGTAATGTATAGGGAATCCCAGCACGAACTGTCATTAATCCTGAAGGGATTAATCCGGTTTCCAACTTTCTGGAGTACCCTCAACCCTAAACCCTAAACCGTAAAACCCTAAACCCCCAAACCCTAAGCCCTAAACCCTAAACCCTAAAACCCTAAACCCTAAAACCCCAAACCCTAAACCCTAAACCCTAATCCCCAAAGAGTAGGCGACCGACAGGTCTGGCCTGAGAGCACTGGGCATCGAAGCCACCGTGGCGAGCGGAGATCTGTGCCGACCTTTTGGCGCGCAAGACATCAAAACAGTGTAATAGAGGGGTTTAGGGTTTAGGGTTTAGTGTAATAGAGGGGCCCATTATACTATAGTTATCATAAGGAACCCCCAAAATACGGTTTCATGGGGTTCATTTAAAGGGTTCCTTAAAGGGTTCTAGAGGGGCTACTATAAGGGTTTAGGGTTTAGGGGCCTAAAAAAAAACAAAACAGTGTAATAGAGGGGCCCAATCATACTGTAGTTATCATGAGGAACCCCCCCAAAATAGTATAGGGTTTAGGGTTTCGGGTTTAAGGTAATAATATAGGGGCCTTAAAAATCAGAAGAGAGTTTTGGGGTCCATTATACTCTAACTATCATAAGGATCCCCCCCCAAAAAAAAAAACAAAAATAGTGTTGGTAATTATCTACGCCCCTATAGTAGGGTTTAGGGTTTTGGATTTTGGGGGTTTAGGGTTAAGACTTTCAGAGTTTAGGGTTCCGGGCTTAGGGGTTCAGGGTTTAGGGTGTCGGGTTTCGGGCTTAGGGGTTCGAGAGATTTCCTACGGATGTCTTCCAGCCTTGTTTAATGTAGGGGCCCAAATATTTTACCAATACTATTTGGGGGCTCCTTGTTATAATGATAGTATGACATCCCCCCAAACCCTATTCTAATTATTACGGCCCCTGCATTATTACCTTAAACCCTTAACCCTAAACCAATTCGGTCCTATTCTGTTTATTGAGGCCCCTACATTACTTTCGGCAGGTCTTGCGACCCTAAGTGACTGAAGCCTAAATCTCAAACCCCTAGGCGCGAAGCCCAGAAAAGCAATCCACCTTCGCAAGTCTTGGGACAAAGCCCCAGTTTAGGGTTTAGGGTTTGGGGTTTACGGTTTAGGGCAAGGCGCGCCAGCGCGGAGGTGTCTCCGCCCTTTGAAAGCTCCGTAAGCCCTAAATCCTAAACCCTAAACCTAAACCCTGCGCAGATGCCTGGTGAATACTTCAGAGATGGGACGCAGGAGGCCAGGGAGGAGGCGGGATCTCTGCACGGTTTAGGGTTTAGGTCTGAGTCTAAACCGACGCGCAAATTTCCGTAGATAGTTACTGTAAGGGAAGTTGAGATTCCTTGAGATCGGATGGTCTTGAGAGTAGCGCGTCTGGACTTCGTAGAGATGCCAGTGCTGGACGTAGTGACCGTAGTGAATGATCTGGGGCTTTAGCCACCTCTTTTGTTAGGTTACCAGGTCAAGACAACATGTTCGGTCGAGTCTACCACATCTCAAAGTTATCATGTATTGGAAGACCATTTCAACAAACAGTCGCACTATGAGGTGCGTGAAGCCTGAAGTGCTCATCCACTACATGACTTTCTGACTTGTGATGTTTGGCATTCATAATGAAAGCCATTCTGAAATGCGTATGTGATGTGCCATGACAGTCGACCTGGATCATGAATGTGTGATGCAGCTGCCTGCTCTTTGCAGCTCCATCCATTTAGAAGTAGCGGAGGGCCAGAGGAATTACCGGTGCTCCGATCCAGGTGACATGGCGTGCCTCGGCAGAACATGCTCCCCTGACTAGGTTTAGGACTGGATAGACCTACTTTTTTTGTACGGCAGAGCGGCGCTGTGATATCGAGAGCGTATCAGAGGCTCACCTTCAAGCTCCACTACCGCCGAACTTTTATCGACATGGATGAAGAGCCCTGGCACAGCCTGAGGCGGGCGAATGCCTCGACAGGTGCTGCTAGGTGAGATAAGTTAGCCGAATAGGATACGAATTCAGTAACAGATGAAAACGCAAGCTGCACAGTACATCTGATCACTGTAATACAACACAACTTAATGGCGCTTATGCAGCCTAATGCAAGATCAGGCCATGTCATACGCCAAAAAGAAATGTAGGATAGAAACAACAATAATACACAAGAACATCACGCTATATTTAATTTAATTGACCCTTGAAAAAAGCAAAATACAACACTATCGTTCATAAGAGTGTATACTATAGAGTACAGTTGGATGTGATATGCAACGGTATAACTACATATCTTGCTGAACTATAGTATGACATGGTGTGACATGAAGTGAACTGGTTTGATATAATGCAGCGCGATTTTAAGATACATCAGAAATACCATAACTTGGCATGTGTGTCTAGATACATTTTTATGAATATGTACAGATAAAAGTATTACTATATATAACATCCAGCAACTAAGCATCTCGGCATACGGTAGTTCAAACAGAATTCAGTACAGTAAAGTGCAACTCTAACATAAGACGGAGCAAGCGATAATCAGATAAGATAAAGCAATACAGTGTCATGAGTTATAAAAGAACAAAGTACAGTACTATAAACGAGGTAGCACTATAAGATGGACAGGTAAGACGAGACACCACTAAATACCTGACATGAGCAACGTGATATGACACAGATTTTAAAGCGCCACGCAACACAACCGGGTAAGATGTAGCACATTGTCATACATGAAAAGGGGAATAGGTCAGTTTGAGCCATGCTAGGAAAAAAGCTACATGTCGATAAGACAAAACTGTTGGTAATGCATATTACACAGATGCAGCGAAATGTGTTGTCATATAGCACAGTATGACACAATACGTAAAAGCATAGTACAGTATAGGAAGTACAAAAAGAGAGTGTAAGATACCATTGAACATGTAGTGCTTTTTCAGGAGCATAAAACCAACCATATCATACACCACGACGGAAATCATCTGCTATGATACAAAACACCGCATAATATGATTATACAATAGAATACAACAGAGTTCAAACTGATGTACATTATATATAGCACAAACCAAAAACATCAGATAATATGTGGGCATGAACAAGTATAGTGCGATATGCTGTATTGCAAATTGAACACAACACCATAGACTACAATCTAACATAGCCTGTATTTTTCGTTTGAGGTGGAATACGGGATGAACAAAGTAGAGCAACTACGATTGCATTGATGATATGCTTTAGTTCCAAATCAGATAAGACCATATGGTATATGATAATGTCACGAAAGTACTGTAATGTAATGTAATTTAATGTACTGTAATGTGATTTGATGTAATGTGATGTAGGGTCATGTAATGTACCGACATAGCCTGCTGTTCCCTCCGCCCCCAGCCCGCTGCGCTATGTCAGTCGTGAAGACTGCAGCAGCCCCAAACCCAAAACTTTAAACCCAAACCCTGACCCGAAACCCTAAACGCAAAACCCAAACCCTGACCCGAAACCCTAAGCGCAAAACCCAAACCCTGACCCGAAACCCTAAACGCAAAACCCAAACCCTGACCCGAAACCCTAAACGCAAAACCCAAACCCTGACCCGAAACCCTAAACGCAAAACCCAAACCCTGACCCAAACTCCTAAACTCTAACCCCCAAGCCTGAGCCCAAACTCCTAAACTTTAACCCCCAAACCCTGAGCCCAAGCTGCCATCGGAGCTTCCACCCAGAGCTGAGGCCTCACACCCCACACCCTGCACAGCATAAGTTAAGTCCTAGCTGAGGGTTTTAGGATGCAGGGTTTAGGGTTTAGGGTTTAGGGTTTAGGGTTTAGGGGTGAAAAGTAAGTTTACTTGGGCTCCTGAGTAATTGTATGTACATCTGCATCTTCTCCCCTTGAAGGAATTCTTCAAGGAACCCTTCAGGGGGCCCTTAAAGCAAACCTCACACGGACCCTGATAGGGTTGAGGGTTTCCCTAAACCCCCTAAACCCCATAAGCCCCGTGAACCCCCTAAACCCTAAACCCCTAAACCCTTGGGCAACCCCCCAGGGCACGTGCTGCTAGCTGTCCTCCGAGCATGGGAGAGGGCGAAGAAACAACGGAGGAGCAGGAGGACCGTCGCCGGTCCTTTTGGGGGTTTAGGGCTTAGGGCTCTATATAGGGCTCCATTCCCCGGTGGTTTCAAGGTGTCTAAAATGGGATTTTTGGGGTGAAGGGTTTGGAGTTTATTCAGACCACAAAAAGCCCACACAGGTAAACCCTGAACCTAAACCCTAAAATACATGATAGGGGTATCCCAGACAGACGTCCCTGTGAAAGGTTTCGGGTTTATGGGTTCAGGGCGTCGCTCGGTGTTAAGGTTTTTAGCTTAGTATATACACTATACCATACTACATACTACACGTTACCATACTATACTATTCTACAATATGGTACTAGAATCCTATAATCTACTCTAACATTCCGTAATTGACGTGTTCATTTACTATAAGACTATAGTTATAAACCTTAAACCCTAAACCCCTAAACCCCTAAACCCCTAAACCCCTAAACCCTAAACCATTAAACCCCTAAGCCCTAAACCCTAAACCCTACAAACCCCTAACCCCTAAACCCCTAAACCCCTAAGCCCTAAACCCTAAACCCTGCACTAATATCTTGAGGCCCCAGGGCTAGCCCGGGCCAGGGCCCGTTAACTACCGGCCCAAGTGCCCTGGAGTTCGGGCCATAGAGGCCTCTGCCACGGTTTAGGGTTTAGGGTTTAGGGTTTAGGGTTTAGGGTTTAGGGTTCTTGGTGTTGAGGGTGTTTAGGGGTAATATATACCTTTACGGTTCTTGCGTTGAGGGGTTTTAGGGTTTAGGTAAAGTTTAGGGTTTAGGGCTCTGTCACAGGGTTCTTGGTTTTGAGGGCTTTTAGGCTTTAGGGTTAAGGGCTCTGCCACAGGGTTCTTGGTTTTGAGGGTTTTCAGGGGTTCCCAAAAAGTCCAAGTTCTGGTATAGTATATACCTTTAGGGTTCTTGGTACCTACAAAGTAGCTGCCATAGAAAGACTTGGACCCTTTGGGGTTTAGGGTGGCGAAAGGGAACGCTTCGCTAACGCAGAACCTTCAACTCCGGCAGCCCTGCTCCACGATTGGTTTAGGGTTTAGGCCCTAAACCCTAAACCCTAAACCCTAAACCCTAAACCCTAAACCCTAAGGGTTTAGGGTTTAATGCAGCCCACAAGTCTCCTTACATAGCCGCGTATATCCCTGATAAGAGGACTCTCCACGGTTGCTTCTAGGAGTCAAAGCCCTAAACCTCAAACCTCGAGCCCTCCAACCCCGAACCCCCCACCCCAAAACCCTAACTCCTAATTCAGACCTACAACGGAAAATGTCAGGAGTCAAAGACCCACGAGCTCTATTTAGAGAAGGTGGTTCGGGAGGCATCCAGATTCCATGCCCGCCGCAGCCGTGGAAGCATAGGCCACCCCGCTCTTTGTCTGGTAAGTTAGGGACCCAAAAATGCACATAAGCATAAGCTGTTCATCGGGATATCCCTACCTTTTTTGGGCTTCATTATAAGGGGATGTATATGGGATATCCGGATCCTAATTTTTGCTTATGTGGTTTTTTGGGGCCCTAGTAAGGGTGATTACTGTTACAGGCTGTGGGATGGTCTAGTCGCTTTAGGTTTAGGGGTTTAGGGATTAGGGTTTAGGGTTTAGGGGTTTAGGGTCTGTGAGGTTTTGGTCTTGAGGAGTCTTGGGCCCAAGAGTTTGTACCTAGACCCCAACAGCTACCCTTAATTGATTGTAGTCATTCACTATTTCTTGATATGCATATACATATATAAAAATACACCACATGTGTATATATATATATATATATATATACATATACATATGGACACACATACACACACAGAGATACGTGAGATCCCTCTACAGGGTAGTTTGGGGTCCTTCCAGACTCTCTAGACCCGGCATCCGGCGAGTGCTGAGAGGATGGGCTGAGGGTCTACAGGGTTTAGGGTTGAGGGTTGGGGTTGAGGGTTTAGGGTCTGCAGGGTTACATAGGGTTTGTGAAACTGGATCTTGAAGACATGCTGAACTTGGAAGTTCAGCTTCCGCGACCGTTGAGTTTAGAAGAGCCACCGGGCAGGAACCACACACCGCAGTTTGCCTATACCAATATCGACACACACACACACACGCATGTACATCTATATGTATGTCTGTATGAACCCTAGTACAGCCTGAAGCCCCAACCGTGAACATGTAAACTGAGACCCTAAATCCTAAACCCTAAACCCCCCAACCCCTAAACCAATAAACCCCTAAACCCGAAATCCCTAAACCCCTAAACCCTAAACCCAAAACTAAAGCTCCAAAGCCCTGGAGACCATTGGCCTCTCGCAATCGATGTAGGGTTTAAGGTGTAGGGTTTAGGGTTTAGGGGTTAAGGTTTAGGGTTTAGGGGTTTAGGGTTTAGTTTAGGGTTTGGGACATTTTGCATTTGCCCGTCTTTGGCATAAGAGGATCTAAATTCACGAACACGTTTCAAAGGCTGTAAAGGGCCCGCCTGCCCTCATGGACCGAACCCAACACAACACCTGAATCCCATAAACCACAAACCCCTAAACTCTAAACCCCTAGGCCCTGAACCCTGAACCCTAAGCCCTAAGCCCTAAACCCGTGCCGTAGAGGGAGACATTGACTGAACCGTCCAGTGCACCGTCGCTCCCGTCGACTCTTCCCTTGCCCCATGGTGCGTCGTTGGCACGTGAGCCCACTGCAGTGAATGTTGTGGGGAGACATAGACGTGACACCAGATCGAGGAGCCGCAGCAGGGACGATGACGTTGAAGCCGACGCAGCAGACAGTTTCTCAAGTGAGGCCGAACGAGTAGACTAGTCCTGACAGTGTGGTGAAATGAGGCCAAGCGAGTACTCTTGTCTAGACAGTGAGGCGACGCGCAAGACACTACTTCAAGTGATGTCTGCTGTCAGTCTCTTTTGTTTTGGAGTGCACGCTCTTCGGAGTGAGCCTATCGACCTCTGCGGGAGAAAGGGCTAGTGCATTTAAAAAGAAAACCCTAAACCCTAAACCCTAAACCCTAAACCCTAAGCAGAAAGCCCCCCCCCCCCAGCACTGAGGAAGTCTGTCGCCGGCCTTGTGTCTTTTTGTCGGCCGGGCGCTGCGGCCAAGGCGAGGGCTGCGGGCCCCGTGGAATGCAGTCAGCTCTTAGAATTTAGGGTTCTAGGGTTCTAGGGTTCTAGGGTTTAGGGTTTTAGGGTTTTAGGGTTTAGGGTTTTAGGGTTTAGGGTAGAAGGGCTCTGTACTAGCATAAGGGTTTCTACGGGCTGGTTAAGGCTTTACAAGGGCTCTATCAAGTTTAATGTATTTTTTGCCAAGGAGGGTTTCGTTCTTGGCCTTGAGCTCTTGGGTTGGGATTGGCCGGTTCACGCTGAAACCCTAAAACCTAAACCCCT